GTATTGCTTCCCAAGTTTCAGGCGAATACAACTGCACTAAAAGACAAAGCAATACATGAAACCCTTCGCATCAAAGCATCAAGTCAAGGACACTCAAAAAATGAACCTACGTTTTGTGCTGCAAGCCCAGCTCCTACAAGGCCTGCCGTCTGCTAAGGTTCGAATACATGGAGGCTCATGTTTGGCATCATCAGGTGCGCAGATGCGGCGACAAGGCAAAACAGTGACAGGCAAGTTAACCGCAACAGATTCGAATCCGCTATCTTCCAAATGTGAGTCCAAATCTATCTATGTCCTGGCTGGTGGTCTGAGAATGACAGAAAATTGATGATAATCCAAAAGCGAAGACAGGAATTCACTACTAGCTACAATACTCAGTGAAGAAGCAAGTCATTCGCATTTCCAATCCTTTAAGCCAATTGTACCGACGACTAATTAAATTTAGAGAAAAAAATTCACTTCTCCAAGGGACTGAAACAATAATATAGCATATAGTTTTACACGTAATTCTGCCTAACAGAGATAGTTTGGTCAAGGTATCCCACGCCGCTGCTTTCACAAACGATGGGACTTCCCGGATAAGCTTGTTACACCAAAGCACGCTGAAGTGAATTTATCGCTCAAGAGAATTAACAATTAATTTAAAGCATGTGTGCAAACAGCTGGAATTGAGCCACAACTCCAAAGGTACAATGTCAAACTATTTTCCTCTGCGCCACTACTTCCATCAGTCAGAGAATTACGACTTATATACAGAATTGACGGAAAATCTATTGGAATGGTCTTTAATATCAGACCCTGGGAGATCAACGTCACAAATGGAAGAGAGCAATATAATTAGCGGTTTGAATGTAAAAATTTCAGCGATCCTATTCACTGGATCTGTCTAAACTTGTACATTACACTGTCATTGAGTATACGCCTCAATTAATTGAAATAGCTTTCAGCTGTGGTTAAAGGAATTGATTCCATTAAAACCGTAATGGGTTCTTTTGATCCGTACTTCAACAACACCATGAACACAAACTGTGGACTGGAATTTTCAAAAATATGTACAAGACTAATGTAAAACACGGGTTTGCAGTGATAAGGATTAATATGATCTACTTATCATCCAGTGACTGATAGTCTCTGACGATAGAATTCACAATTCATGGTTCATGACTCAAAACTGAATATGACCATCAGCCATAGTTGTAACCGGGTTGTAACCGATTATCGTGTTGTATGTATTTTTGGACAGTACACGTTGTAATGGAACCTCACACACCAAAACGTTACTCTCACGAAAAGACCAAATGTGCACAGTGCCTAACATTATTTCTACAAACGACGTAGCAGCTGATGACTACGCAGCGTAATATGGAAAGATGTATATTTGGCATAAGAAATAAATACAGGAGGCGAAACGAGTGCATAACGCACAAACAAGAGTGTGTGATGTCACTGTCTGAGTGAAAAAAGTAGAAGTGGCAGTGGGTATGGTACGCTGCAAGAAGAACCGACCATCGTTGGATCACAGAGACGTTACACTGGGTTGCAGACAGAATAAACGGTCATTAGGAAGACCTCCAGTTTGATGGCATGATGAGCTGAAGCTGAAATTGGCTGGATCAAGTTGGATGAAAATGGCAGAAAACAAATGTCACGGAAAGAACTTTATCCAACAGTGGATGGACAAATGCTGGTCGTAATAATACAGCACTTGAAACAGGCCGCGAAGAGGGAACAATGAACGATGAAATGAAAGCAGTTCCTGAGCTTATTCCATACTTGGAATCTCAGGTCACCTGTCCTCTACTTTATTGATTCCAATGCGGTATCGTTTGGTGCAAATACCTAACTTTGTTCTTCTAGATTTACGGATCACAGGATTTTCAAGCCATGTCTAATAAATTTCAAGAGGGTGACCTAGTAATGTCAGTTTTCTTCATGAGCCACTGCGCAAACATGTTTGACTTCAAAGGCATATGTAGACATATCAGAAACTGACAAGCCTTGAGCGCATGTAAATGGGCGCTGTGTGACGTTTTCATCCATTCCTTGCACTACAGGGCAATTCAATTTTCAAAACGGTATCCTTTACCCTGTTTGACCAAAATCGCGGGAACGGTAGAATATAGAAGGGTTCTGGCCCATGCGTGTACGATGATTACAGTACGGTATATCTTCAGTACAGCTTTGCAAATATCTGAAACGGTTTGTTTCTTCACTCCATATTCTTCATATATGCGTGCTGTTTGTACTCTAGATTTTATTTTATCCAATTTCTGCTTTATAATCAAGCATGTTACTCTTCATTTTTACCCATCGTATATTAATTTCTAAAAACTATTTGTGATATAGAACAAACTAAACACTCACATGTGCAAAATGTCGTGTCACCGTCTTCAATTTACTCGTTCAATAATTAAACTAATTAAGTTTCAGCTTGATTTAGTTTATATTTTTCACTAATTATTATACATATATGAAATGATATATATATAGCTCACCTTTAAACTGATCGTTGGTCGGGTAGATGAAATGTTCGTCTTCGTGCTCCATCGGCTCGAATTGTTTCTCGTCGCCAATCAATGTTACCATCTTCTTGCACGCCACCTTGGTGCTGGTGGTGACGGCGTACGTGCGACTGTCCAGCAGGTAGACGACAAAGTGAGCCGTGCACTTCAGATTGACTTTGTGCGCCGGACATGTTGCGTCGTAGCTGAAATAGGCCGGCAGTTGAGCGATGCGCATCTCGTGCCGGTCGGTCAGATATATGAAGCCATGTTCGCAGTTGATGTTATGGAATGGTGCGAAGCTGAGCACCCGACCGTCTAGTTGCATCGGGTGGAACCGGTGGATACCCTGAAAAAATAACAAACATTATACATAAGGCCGAAAACCTAAAAGTTCTTGATAGAATAATGTGAAATCGCCGTTTACTGCCATCCTCACCGAATTATTCCATTCATTTTTACGTCACATTGAGAAAATCTCCTGAAACCTTCGCAACTGCGATGTGAAAAGTACAGCGTACTTCAAAAAAGTGTGAATAACTGGGCGAATCAGTGCGTCATTGAATGGATGAATTCGTGACTGGGAGAACGAATGAGTGAATACATAAAGCTTACGGTAAGTGCGGCGCTTAAGCATGATCTCGCTGAGGAAATCCAAATTATTGAACACAATTCTGCAGGTTTGGGAATACTGTAGCGCATAATAACGTCGCACACAAAATGTTACTCATTAATCAATCTTGGTAAAATGATAAGTGAAATTCCTGACCAGATATATCAAGGTCAAGGTTGATACATCGCAGGTGACTACAAGTCAGATGAGTGACGCTGTGTGTTGGAATTGAGCTGATAATCAGTTCAAAGACCATCGGTGAAAAGAAGCTTTACTGCGTTACAAACCATTACAATGGAAAGAACTGCATTGCTCGAAGTTGTCACCCAGGCACTGGCTTTGAATTCCACGGAGAAGAATGCTAATGAATAATGAAAAAAATCCAGAAAAAAAACAAGTTATGTACCTGGTGAGTCATAAAACACCAATAAGGGTACGGACCGGATATGAAGATGCCACTGTAACTAGAAACGTTGTCGAAGTAATGCAGGCGTCGAAATGGAGTGTCGAATTCAGACGACGAGAGACTAGTGCGACGTTCGCCTCGAGACTGCAGTTTCGTCTGGAAGGAAAGAGAAGACGAGAGACCTCCGGACTGGAAGAGCTTTTGGTGAGTGAGACGCTTGAATCGTAAGCATAAATGATCATGAAAACGTTCGCCGAAGAACGGAAACGCCTCATAAACTAGCAACTCGTCGTCAACGAACGCAAGCAGATGCGGGCGACCCTTGTTGACACCAAGACCGACAAGCATCAATTCGCGGACGGACGGATAGCTGTTGTCAGGCTTGTCCTGCTCGAGAGCCAGTTTAATAGGATCAGTATCGAATAGCGTCTTGAAGCCGAGCGGAAATTTCTTCACCATGTAAACGAGCCGGAAATCAGGCAAACTCAGGATCTCAAGCAGACCGTTTTCACGACACACAGCCACCCAGTAGGTAGGCATCACCGTGTCAGGGTCGACGCCAGCAAGGTGGCTGCTATCGAAAAGAATGTCGTCGAACTGCAGCTTGCGGAATGCTGTAGGTTCCACTTTTACGTTGTCACCCAGGAATGTGTCACGGCCATACAGCAAAACGTCTTCGTCCTCAGTGGTCAGCTTTTTTCTACAAAACAATTTATACAAAACAGAGAATGGTAAAACGAACAATAGGTCAGCTTACTATACACAAAACTACACTTAATTCCATGCTTATCATCTGTTTGCAGATAACGTACGATTTCGAATGTTCCCTGTAGTCCCATTTTTTTCACTATGCATCAGCGGGTACTGCGCAGATGATACAGTTTCCCTTCGAACACATCTCCGTAAATCGTGTTCATCTATCCTTGTAGCATTCTTGGGCTTCTGACTGATACTGCTGTATTTCTGTGGCCATGGGAAAACCTTGAGGGGTAGGCGGATGGCATTATACTCAGCCAGTTTTTTCAAAGAGGGCTATCATTTTTGCAAATATTCACTTCAACTGAGGAATCTTCTGAAAAGAAAGCAAGATTATTCCTAGCGTGGTCCTACTACGACGAAACCTTCATTATGCCCCAAAGTCAGCGCTGATATGCACAATTCCAGCTGTCGTTATATGTTAAACGGCGGTTCTGCGTCATATTGTACAGATGATCGGAGTGACGCAAGGAACAGGCGAATTTTTGCAAAAAAAGATATTCCTTTACAGGCTAGATACCTTAAATATCTTAATAGGATATCGAAGGCACTGGTACCGCTGCTGTAGATTTTGAAACGGAGAGACTTAAAGTGATTTATCTATTCAGCCATCATCTCCGTTTCATTATTATTTCCTGTTTCATCATAGCTTTTGACCTCTAAACGTTTAGACAGCGAACTCTTTACCATCCCATATACGGAGGCATTACGATAGTCAATTTCTTTGTCCGTAGTATTCATAAGGACAGTATGATCTGCAGACCCTAAGTCGGCAAGTTATCTAAATCAATGTTTCGAATGACCCCTCTATTATAAAATGAGACCCAGCTCTTTCTGAAGGCCAGCATTGTTTCGGAAGCGAAAGTGCCTCTCACAAGTGAAAAATGGAAAAGAAGCATTTATATAACTTTTTTAAGCCTCTATGCTTGTCTATTTTAATCATGTAAAGCCTGAATTTGACGAGAAACACGCATGGAAACAGCACTCAAATCCTTTACAAGGCCAACGGCACAGTAGTGCATAAAACCACGCCTCGACTGATCCGTCAGTCCTCTTCAGCTTATGCAGAAGTTCATATCGATCCATTTATACAGGTGATCTTTAGCACAAAAGAGTCCGTCACAATCCGCGTAAACACCAATTAACAAATAAGGAAACAAACCCATAATCAAATCAACAGGAAAAGACAGACATATGTCACCATTTCAATTTGGCTATCTCGTTTTGTCGGATAGATTTCAATGAATTTTCGTTTCGCAATAGTGATAACATGTATAGAGCGTGACAGCACAATGGCAAAGAGGCCGACTTCGAATTGAAGAGGTGTGCTGGATTTGAACGTGCAAAAGGGACAAACTTTATCATAACCATGAATACCTTCAGAAAAAATTTACTCCCCATAGCTTCGGCTCAAATAGCCCAGTAGCAAGTCGGTGATTTACAAACAATAGGGACATATTGGTATTCTGGAGTGATAATGCTAGAATGGACGAGAATTACCGCCAAACAATTCGATGTGAGCGCCGCTTGTAGTTGCAACTTCGTCTTGATCCACCTGATAACTCACCATCCAGTGCAGTAATTAGCAGAAGGAGTAACCCAGAATAAAATCAAACTTTCTTTTACGTC